CGATAAGGTGCAACCACGCAAAGGATCAAAGGGAAACAGTCGGACCAAGACCAGCCAGACCCCATACTAGGAGTGATCATGCTACGAGGCGGTTTGTGCTCTGTGATGGGAGAGTGAAGGCAGAAAGGTGTTGTAACCAGGCGACCAGCATGCCCATATCCATGAAAACGGCGATGCTGCCTTCCCCCAGGGAAGGACGGGTTAGAAAACGTCTGTCCTAAAAACTGCACACTTCATACATTAAAAGGTTGAATTATTCAGTAGGGTCGAAATACTTTGAAAACCAGTCTGATGGTGCTCAAAGGCCACCTGCTTGCATAGCTTCAAAAAGTAGTGTGTTACTCCATGCGCCGTCGCGTTAAGCCAACCCCCTGCAGCCGAGCAGGTTAGTTAACTAGGTCCTCGGCTCCAGGCATAGTTTCTACATAAAACCCTGCTCGCAGCCTCACGAGTCAGGCCTTTGAGTCAGAGGCTAAGGGAAGCGTCAATGTACGGAAACTTACATCATCCCATTGCTTGGTGGGTCAAAAGCGCATGGTGGGCGAGCTGAAGGTACCTTAACTAAACCCTCATTCCCAAGTTGGGCAAACGGGAAGTAGTAGTAACCCGCTCAAGTGCTTGTCCACCGATGTCCCTACCTAATCTCCTCCCACCATGCGAGTAAACGTTGCTGGGTCATTTTACTGTCAGTTATCTGACCAATGTGCCTTATGCACCCCGCTGCCCATTGGCAATAAACAAAATAACACCTTGCTAAATTCATGAAAGCCTTTCAACATAGGAGCTTTCAACTCTGTCAAATTGGCAAACAGGCAGCGCTCACTGAGACGCTATACTCCCTAAAAATTGATGTATGCTGTCTCTGAAAAATGCATACAAACTGCAACCGTGGTGATGCTTCTCAAAATACCAAGCTCTTTCACACTTATCCTCCGTATGATCCAGAAGCAGCGACCCGTGGAATACATGGCGTGGGAGTTGCGCTCAGCCCCAGGGCTGAATGCGATTTGCTGGAACGGATCCTAGTGGACAAACGTCCTTGCGCCGTCCGGTTACCTAGTTCAATCAAGCCAAATAATTCTCAACATAAGAAACGGCGCCTATTCGTAATGTCGGCTTATGCCCCAGCGGACGACAGTTCCGACGCTGAAAAGAATACTTTCCATTCTTTGAGCAAGAAACAGACATTGTGATCCTTATGGGGTGGGTCGTCTAAGTCCTTTGGAATTACAGTTGGCTGTTCGATTTGGAGTCGATGTTCGTCGTACAGACAACGGAGGGCGACTCCAGGTGTATGCTGATCATCATCATCACGGTTGTACAGGAGAAAAGCATCGGTGTTGAACATTGATGCCATGCTGTCGATGACGATGGTGAGCTGTTTTCTGCCAGTACGAACTTTCATCATGAACGTCCGCATAGGTCGACCTGGCGGCCGCCAAGTGCAAATCAACCACGGACCCAAACGGATCACGTGGCTATCAGCCAATGTTGTGCGGTCGTAACTCAAGACTACCATTCTTTCTGGGGCGCACAACTTGGTTGCGATTAAACCATGGTGCAAACGTGCTTGACAGCTCGTTTTCTTTCAGGCCTTCGCGAATCAGCAAGAAGCATGCCGATCCACCATCTTCAGAGAAGGGATATAGCTCAGAAGTATTGATCTGAGTTAGTTCAGCTACTCTCTAAGCAAACCAGCAGTGTACTGCACGTGGATAAAGCATGGCAAAATTCAAAAAGGAGCTACGGTGGTGGCGTTAAGTGCTGCCTGTTCGACGTCTTTGATACAACCAAATGACCACTGGATATTGTCAAGATCACTAGACTGATTGATATCAGGAAATCTATACTATCAAGCAACGAGTACGACGGCGCACACAAATCGCTCAAACGCCAAATATTGGAGAGCCTAAGGACAGACCGAGAGCTCTGGTGGACATCAAAAGCCCAGTATATAGAGAAGACTTCTGTAATGGTAAACAGCCATATGCTATACCACTTGATATGATCGACTGACCATGGGGAAGTGACAGTCAGCGAAACGATAAGTGAGGGATGCGGATTATAAATACGCTCATTAAAAACCGACTGGGAAGCTGAACAGAATACTTCGAAGAGCAGTTTAGCTGATCTCCTGCGACACCGCCTTTGGAAATAGTGTACACGGGCGAAAGGAATGTAAACTTTGATTGCCCGTCAAAAGAAGAAACGAGGTATGAAATATCCGTCCTGAAACGCGAGAAGGCACCAGGACAGAAGGCCTGTATCCAGCCCTCTTAAGGGACTGTGGACCCGGTGACTCATCCAACAAAGCTTGTTGGTGTGGTAGGGACTGGTGACAAAGTCCCTGCAGAATGGGGCATGTCGACAGATATTCCCATCTTCAAAAAGGGTATGCGGACGCTGTATGAAAACCACCGCGGCATCAGCCTGATAGCTGTGGTGCCGAAGGTGTTCCCTTATCTCCCCACTGAACACGGGGAGAGACATACGCGAAAACAAGATGGGTTCCGTCCTGAAGGAGGATGATGCAGCAATAACATTTTCACTATCTGACAGATCCTGGAAAAGCGACGCTGACCTCAGCAACCCTGTGGAGTCGAAATGTTCCCAGGGTATTCGCTCCCAGATATCCAGTACGCACACTACACCTGGATCTGACATCGTCGTAATGTAAACAATGTTAAATAATACGAGTAATCTTGCCTCATTTTGGCGTGCGTTTCATATCTACAAAGTGTAAGGCCGGGTGGGCTACAGACCTAAGCTGTTTGTGGATGAACCGATTGAAGTAGTAGACATTTATCTAACTGGATAATTTTACCAGTCCCTGAGGTCGAGCTGAAGACAATATTTTAGCCGGACTGGGAAGGCCGGAGCAACTTTTGTGAACCTGCATCGTGTGTGCGGAAAAGCATGACATCAGCTTACCAATGACTGGCCGCGTTTACAATGTTGCAGTGCGCTCCATATTATTATACGTGTCAGAAACCTGAGTGCTGCGCTCTGCGATTGTAAAAAAAGCTTTCAGTGTTTGACCATCGATGTCACCTGAGCATTGTCTGAATATGTTTGGGACACCTGGATCAGTAATTTTGCAGTATAATGATGACCATCGAAAGCACGACATCAGTGTTCAACACTGATACATTGCTGCCGTAGAACCATGATTTATTTAAAGACCTAATTGTGATGAAAAAATAAAGGTGGAGAGATAGGTACTTAGTGCTAGATGGGATGAGATGGCTCAAACGGTTGGAGCACTAATTTGCCGACTGGAAGGTCCGTGGTTCAAACTAGACCTCTGCCTCTCGACTTCCCCTGTCTAGGCTTGGGAAACCTGGAAGTATCCTAGTCCTCATGCTTCCTTCTGATGGCATGGCAGCTAGGCACCGAGGGGGTGTTACAGCTGAACGATTTTTCAGTGCTAGATTACTACAATTATTCCGAGGTGTCTGCATTTCTAAACACTCATTCAGGCAACCTAGATAGAAACTGACAACAAGGACGCCACTGACGTCGGTTGGCAGCCATTTCATACAGCATCTCTAGGCGCAGTGGGGATCACACCGTCCCCATCCTGGAAGGCGAGTAGCACTGACAACACCCAAAAGTCCCCTAATCACTCATGTCACTCTGCCAGGTCAAGGGTTGGCCACCTCTCTGCTTCCGTCACTCTGAACTGGGAATGGAAGACAGCACTGTCTTTGGCAAACGATGGTTTGTCATGCGCAGTACATGGCCTAACCAACGCAGCTTCTGGTGCTGGACACATTCTTTAACGCGAAACCGAAAACTCGCGAGCTAATCACCTCGTTACGGACTCGCCGACACCAACTCATGAGTTATGGTTCTGAGACAACGGCTGTCTAAGACCTAAGGATATTTCAGTTCCGCTGCTCGGAGATGCCAAGTCTCACAACCATACAACAAAACAGCCCGTATTGTAGCCTGATATACACGTCGCCTGAGATTCAGGGATATATCGCGTTGACTCCATAGATGTCCCAGATGAGCAAACGCGACCTGAGCCTTGCAGATTCGTGCATTGACCTCGTCTATCACACTGTAGTCAGAACTAAAACTTCCAAGATATATAAAAGTCTCCATAGCCTCGAGTGCCTCCCCTGGATTGTAATTGACGTGTTCGGTGACTGTGTGTCCAGGAGCATGACCGTACAGTTTGTGGGTGCAGAGTGCACACGAAAGGACGAAATGGCTTTGCTCAGTTCATCCAAAGACACCTTTGCCTTCTCCTGTTCGAAGGCGGGGACGATGTGGTCTGCCTATTCCAGGTCGATAAGGTTTCCGTTAGCTTCTATTCGAACACCGGGGCTTTGAAGACCTTCCTGCGTTCGTCTCATTATCTCGTTGGCCACGAAATTAAACAGCAATAAAGAGAGTGTACGGAAGCCTTTGGAGAGCTATTCGTATACTCTCACACGTCCGGAAGTCTGAGAATACAAAGAAATTATTATGCTCACAAACTTCTGGGGTATTCCTTGAGGGGCAAGCGTGTCAAAGAGGACAGACCGATTAGAATGCGCCTTGGAAATTCAAGACTACTAAAATTGTGGATCGCTTATACTTACTTATACTGAATAAAAAATGCACCCCCATCATTGAACAATACGTGTTGGAGGTCATCCGGGCCTGGACTCAGTGTTGCCTGAGAGAACATATGCAGTCATAAACCTCCGAGATCGTTGACAGTTCCACCTTCACCGTCCATGGTTCTGCATCAGCTTTGGGCCTCAGATGAGTGACAGCTGGTAGCCATGACAACTTCTGTTCGAAGTATTCGGCCAACCGGTCGAGGCGTTCTTCTTTATTTAGGATGGCCACTCCTTTCCAGTCCTTGATGGTTTCGCTCACAGGTAGTTTCCGGGGGTAGGTCGCACCGATCAACTGAACTTTCGGGCATTCCCAACTTTCTGGGGTTCTTGCATTTTCTTGGCTTTCTGTGTCCACCCCACTTCATGGTCAACTCGTACGCTTACTTTCACTTGACGTCTGATAATTCGTCGCATCAAGGCTGGGATATTTCTCCGAGATGTAAGCAGTGCCACCGTTCGCTCTGTTGTCCAGTGCTTGAGTGCATCTGGTGGTGTCATGTCACAGGCTGAATTCCCAGCACTATAAGAAGAAGTGGCAATCTCGTCCCAGTACGAGTTCGTATCAGATGGTGCAGCCTTTGGAAGAGACTCTGGAAGACGACTCAAATAGGTTCGTCTAACATGCGGATCTGCCAGTCTTTCAGTTGCCAAGAGATTCGTCCGCACCTTAAGCGGTCCTGGAAAACGTAGAGAGAAGCTAAACCAGACGAGCGCGTAGTCGGAATTCACAAATGTGTTCCAAAACGACCGGCAGCCAGTTGCTGATCCGCCCCATCGGTTACCGATGGCAATTCGATCGATTTGAGTTTGTGGCCGGTATGCTGTTGGAGGACACCATATGACCAGACGACTTAGGCTATTTCAAAAGTTAATACTGCATAAAAACAGCCTGCGATCAGCACACAGCTGGAGCAATCGCTCACCATTGTCCGTCCGTACCGAGTCCAATCCATGTCGACCTCCTAAATGAGCCTCAAGTTCACTAAGCCTGCCCACTGGTGCATTCATATCTCCGGCAACCATCACGATGTCTGAGCTTTTCGCTCGCCGCAGCAGGGCAGTTGTAAAACCTGTCTTTGACGGCGTTGGAGCTACAGTCAGTTAGGGCGTAGGCAGACACGATGAACATACATCTATCAACTTCCCGCTTGTGAGACTCCTTCACAGACGTTGCCAGACGAACCACGCAGAGTTGAATTTCAAAAGGTATCCAGTCATGTACAGAATACTTCCAACCAGTGGCTTAGGACGATAGTAACTCCTGTGAGTCCCACCGCAGCAGCCGCTGAATCACCAGAGGTGCGTAGCCGGAAGCGAGCAGAGACTGATGGGGTGGTTAGCTTAACCACTGTGCTTGCATCTTGAATACTTGTTTTTGAGACGCAGCACACATCAATGCCGAGCGAGTCCAATGTGAGATCAAGAGCAGCTTGTTGACCTGCCTGCTTCAGAGTGCCGAAATTGAAGGCGTCCGGGTGTCGATGCTCGAAAAAATCGTTCAGCTGTAACACCCTTTCGGTGCCTAGCTGCCATACAACCCGAGGGAAGCACGAGGGCGGAGATACTTCCAGGTTGCCCAAGCCTAGACGGAGGAAGTCGAGAGGCAGAGGTCGGGTTCGAACCAAGGACCTTCCGGCCAGTAAATTCACACTCTAACCGCTTGAGCCACCACTTGAAGCACTTGAGCTCGAGGATTGATTTGGAAACACCTAAGAATTTCGGCGCTATGTGACGAGCAGATGTTGCACGCAAAATCGATGCAAGACGAACGGAGTCATCAGTTCTAAGTGCTGGGCCTGCACGGGAAGATTTATCAATCAGGTGGAGAGAGGGGGACGAAAAAGTACGTGGAAGAGAACGAAGGGAGGCATCAGCAGCAGTCTGCTTTCGCTTATCCACTCTGCTGTATGTAGCGAGTAAGGCCTATGTCACCACGCAACGGCCGATGTGGCACGAGTTTATTGTTGGACGTAGATAACATGGTTGTAAGCGGGCTGTACACGAACCTACATAGGAGGACGATTAGAGTCCTTAGCCAAAGCCTTTGGCTCAAAAGTCTATCCGTAGGGCAGCAGTGTTTGGCGGGAGATGCAGATGCATTATCATTTCTATGGGACAAGTCGCCACATGTTCCAGCCCCCAAGCTGGAGGACCAGGAGGCCGTTTTTCAGACCTCCAGCCATTGACCAACCTGGTATGAGAGACTCTGTGAGTGTCATGGGGACACCAGCCAGTATGGCTCAGTGAGTCGCTGAGGGGCGCGAACCGTAACAACACGGTACGGTCCAGGCTTTCCGTGCCAGGCGGTCGGTCGCGACCGGGGTTTAGAGGTGGAAACTGACTGGCGGTTGACGTATGGGTGATCGTGTTTGGCCAACCCGCTGCTCACACCAGCTGGCTGGGCGAGGGACAGTGACGCCTATGTAGACGTCATTTACTTAAGCCGTTCGAAGGCTTTCGAGAGAGTGGGGCAGCATGTTACGTTATGTAAGGTAGTCACCGGTAGAGCAGATTTTTTCCTTAAACTGGAGCTTCAGTCACCGCATTATAACGGTAAGTGTTAGCAGGGCCATCTCAGAAGGATACAGCGGTGGCTGACACATTCATCTTGGAATTCGCTAGAAAGTTGCGCACATCCCTCGTCCATCTAATTTCAAACGGAGGAAAATAACACGCGCTGTCCCTACGCCACGCCGGCCTCCGATACTACCCCGGAACGGCACTATGAAAAAAGGGGATTTATGGATGACTTCTGTATGTGACCCAGTTTCCAGAACTGAAAAAAGACATCTCGTGAACTTGAGTCTTGTCCTCGGGTCAGTTGAAGGAATCCTACTAAACACCCTTAGCGAAACTCACTCCGGGGCACACGTCAAACATACTGTCAAGGAACTGCGTAAAGTTTGACAGGTTGCTAGAAAAAAATCCAAAAACGAGTAACCTGACTAACAAGGTTGCCTATACATGGGTGCCAGTAAGCAGTTGTGATAATTCTCCGCCTCTGGGATTCTTTACCCTTATAAAAAGCATCTGCACGAAAACTACCAATTTCCAAAATATAACTTACAACGGAACCTGACCAAATTATCGCTCCACACTCTGGGGCACCATGAGACTCAAGCCCAAATAACCCAGCTTTAAACACAATGGATCTGATAAGCTTGAGATGGCATTTCCGTAATTCACAGAAAGATACGATCGATATTGACAAGGTTCTGTAAATGTTATCACCTAACTACATAACTGCTTGGGATGTTCCTCAAGTTCACTCCAAGCTTTCCTGCATAATACTTCTAACTGCGCTGTGGATTTTGCAGCCGATGTATCGTTTACTCTATGGACTTCAGTAATAGATATATTACGCACCAGTAGACAATGTCATCTTCAAAACATTAACTCATTTATCTTAGCCTAAAATTAGCCAGACGTCAGCATGATATATATCCGGCTATTTTTTAGCCAAGCATCTGCTACTACAGGACGCAAAACAACCTTTATTTGAGGCGGTAGAATGAAGGTTCAGTCAATATGAAAAATTCCGAGAACCGGCGTAGCTGGATATATTTTAGTAACTAAACGAGCTCACATCACTTAACAATACTGGCTAATTTATCTCATGGAACTGGAATTCGTTATCAGGAAGATGGGATGACGTACCTTAATGTGAATGAGCTGTAGAACACGTTTTGTGAACAACTGCGTGGTGCTCTCTTCCTCCAATCGAACACGTAGATTAACGTCAGTGAAATTCAGACAGGAAGGCCCGCCCTCCTGAGGGAAATAAGGATAACACCTCATTATCCCCTTTTCAAAAATTCGATTCAGCATAATTATGGCAGGCGAACGTCGTTCCCAGATCATTAGCCAGAAGTGTGAAACCGTTTGCTGCATCGGTCCTTGTGTTAAGATATACTTCTTTGTAGGCGCCTCGTCCACACATACATAGCTCGCATTGATATAGTCCCCGTCGTTCGAAGAATCTAGTAAAACCCGCGTATCATCATCTACGGAAATAAACAAGTATTAATTTACATGGGCTAATATCCCTATAGCGATTCTTCCATCGATTTTGCAGTTCACGAGCAGCATCACAAGAGGCGTGTCCACTTAGAAGAGCAGCCTGGTTCTTAAGACGCTAAGAGCTCCTCTTGACGAATAAAAGACGATTACCTCATAAATAAGGGTCCATAAGTTCCTTGAGTCAAAATGATCGAAATCTTCTTTGGTATCACATGTTATATAAAGGCCTTCCAGTTCGGAGTTAGGCATAGGTATATCTCATCGGAAGGCGCTTATTTGTGGGCGCGCCATAAACCACCAACCCAGAGTCGCCGTACTGGGGGATTGACCTGAGGAATTGACCTTGGTGGCTATTCTTGCTTCGGCAATCAACTGAATGGTGAATAAAGAGGCCTATGAAACAAGATACTCAGAAATGATTCGGCACATTTTCAATCATTTTGTTTGTTCCATTTTCAGCGAGATGAGAAAACTACATACCTGTCTTCAGGATTCACAAACATTTTACACCTTACCTAACTTCTGCCCCGAATGAGTGAAATTTAAAATTTTACCCGTGGTGACCTTGAAATTAGTCAATACGTCAGTGATTTAAACTTTGTTTAATGCACCTATTAATTAGGATATTTTGCGCGATTTCATATTTTGATTGACAGATAAAGGCAAGTTTTTCATTGTCCGTTGCGCACAGTTGCACTTCAGGTATTCAGTGAAGCTAGGTTCAACTTTGGTGATCAATCGATCAGTTCAAATCAGATTTGCTCCACAGCCGCTGGCCTGGTAGCAAGAAGGTGAACTGAAAGCTTCTTTAGATTATTGCTGACCCCAGGTCCTCAAGCTGCTCGGTTCATGCAATTTAAAGCTGGCAAAGTTCAATAAGTGAACAGTGAAATCACATATACCATTAAGAATGAGTAGTAAACAACCCAATTGGTACCAACGTCATACTAGGAAACTCATTTCACGTCGCAAACGAATGCTCCAAGTGAAGGACGTATACATTACTGATGCTGGGAAAACGCAGGAATTATTGAAGCGGTTTGCCGTATGGAGCAGAGAGAATATTAACGTTTTGGAAAATGTTTTGGATGGATTTCCGAGTAGTATTGACTGGGACACCTTGATAGATATGTTCAAGGATCTGGATGCACCATGGACCTCGGAGGAATCATACATTATACTGTCCCAGTTAGATCCTAATGATAACGGTGTTGTGTCTAGCTCGACTTTTCTTCACCTAACTGAGCAAACGGGAAATACCCCAACTTTCTCACCATTGCAATCCATCCACGAAAGCACGATGTTATTCACACCTGATTCCGAATCAACTGTGCACGTATACCTGCGACCCGCTTCGTCAATGGCTCCTGGGAGTTTGCTGAACGTTGAACTTAATGTGGGTAGTCAAACCACTATACAACAGCTAAGTCGAACATTGCTGTTTCTACTGGATTTGCCAGCTACAGAACTGCTCATCCGAGAATCTAGATACAATGGCCCACAAGTCGACCCAAATACAAAACTGGAGGCTCTGAATCCAGAGGATTCTATCACCCTGTTTTACGAGTATCCCGTTGGGTACGCTGATTGTCCACTTATTCGATACGATCATTACTTCAAATGGCGAACGGTTGATCGTTTTTTGAGTGAATAACGAGAAAGTGTAAAGTAGAGTTCTTGAAATACCGAAGATGACATGATTGGACTAAATTTTTGTCGGTAATTTACTAATTCGTTCTTGATGTTGGAGGGGTAGACATAAGTGAAGTTTGCGTGATTGAAGACGGAAGGGGAGACAAGTTTACAGGCTAATCGTGAAGAAGAACCTAGCTAAGAATTCCACAATATCCATAATTTTTATTGTCCTCAAATAATGCAATGAAGTTTCCGTTCATTTATTCATTTACGTACTCATCCATTCATTCCTTCAACATAGCATTTATTACATAATTCAGGTATTCAGTTATTCACTCATTCATTCATTCATTCTCTCGTTTACCCAGTTCTCACCGTAGTGCTAAGTAACTGAAAGAAGCATGCCTTCTTCAGTTACTTATTTTTCAGTCTATGTTGAAATAACGACTTCCCCAAAAATTTAGAGTCCATATGGTCTTACTCAGCCAACTTATTACAAAGCATAACTCTATGCGAACGATCAGGTATTTTTTCATGCTATTCAGCATAATGTTCAAAATTTTCTACCTATGAATGCTAGAGCTTTCGGGTGAACTTTAGACAACTATCGGTTTACTTGATGTTGACGGACACACCAACTAAATTCACTTCCCCAAGAACTATGCGTGCTGCAGCATATTACTCCAAGCAGAGCATGATGGTCGATTTTTTGGCAAAATCTACAACCAACTCGAGGTCGCCGTTTGTAATTTCCTTATTAGCCTTATAAAACTTTTACGCTCAACGGAGAGTACGTGTATGACATTTGGCAAAGTAAAATTCGGCTGAAAACCATACCAGCTAGGGTAACGCGTTCCATCATTACGAAAGCCAATCATAAGGGTTATGGTTAATTTACTGTGTATTTACATGTAATCAACAAAACAATATCTAAAAGAACTCAGTGCTGTTGATCATATGTCTCGAAGGTGGGTGATCTTCAACGCAAAGAAANCAGCAGGAAGGATGAAGCACCTCGTCTCATTGTATACTCCTATGCGGGTAACTTGAATGTGCTAGGGTGGTGAGGCGAGTCTTGCTCAACCCGTTGTTGATCATTCCGTAACAGTAGGCCATTGAGTAGCAAAGTTATTCTCAGGGTTTATACAGCTTTGGACTTGTTCGCCGACAAACGATTCCGAATCCATGGGAATTGTCATGCCGTCGAATCTGTGATGCTGCGAAGGTTCACTGGAACTGGAACTGAAACTGTTTCCTTCTGACTTAAGGGCTTGTCGACGATTGCAAAACCACACACGTATTACTTCTCTATCGTAGGTCAGTTTCTGAGACAACTCCGACATTTCTGATTCTGTTAGAAAAAGACAATAGGACAAGCTGGGTAAAACCCAAATAACAAGATGTTAGGCTTTCGATTAATCCCTCCGGTTGCAAAACTAAGAACCGTCAATTTGCATCACAAAAAAAGCTTTACATGCCCCCCACCCCAAATCAACAAATATGTCTACCAGCTGTAATGACTCAGCTGTCGATTTCAATTAGAACAGTTACACTGATAGCATAACCAGCAAAGTCGTCCGAAAGCTCAGACCCTACAAAATGAAAGACGCCGTAAATTTGAAGTCCCGTGAATTTTTCTCTCTGATACCATTTACCCAGTTATGAATGTCGGCAGGTAGTAAAACACAATAGCTTTACACTTCACACCCCCAAAATACTGAATACACAAACGATCTAGATTAGAGCTGTTTGAAAAAGCATGCGGGAGCGATTTGACCGGATATAAGGGAAATAATTCTCTACATAAAAAATGCTTCTTTTCATTCAGATCATCAAATCGTCTTCTTTTCTGCAAAAATAAAATTGCGAAGTATTCAGTCAAACAGTGTGTGCAAGTTTCTTGGCATTTCCAAGTTTTGTCACAGGACGAATTAGAGGGAATGCGGTAACTGAAACTCGTCTTAAAGCATTTATTTTGGTGATATGTACAATTAGTCATGAAAACTTTGAGAATTGATTGGCCATGCATCGCCGTGGGGCGATGGAATGATCATAACTAACTTATTTGACGGAACATCATTTTCTTTTGGAACCAAGGTGTATGATTTGAAAATGACTTTGACGCTGTTGACAGGGATTTTAAACAAAATTTAAATTTATCCTTGTAGCGACCTCGCTACAGCCTGTCGCATCAGTTAAGGGTTGCTGTAATAACGAGAAACTCGCGCGAGACTCATTATTACTGTCAGACTTTTTAAACTATAGATGCCTTACTGCCTACTCACAGTCGACAAAATATTCCAACAGGTCAGCTTTCTGCTGAGTGACAAGTTTTATATTGTTACAACCATAAACTACACACCACACCTGTGTTATTTAAAAATATATATATAGTTGGATTGGCAGCTTCCTTTTACTTGGAATTTTTATAGGAAACATCAACAACTCATGGAGACAATTAAGCAGTCTGTTTTCTCTATCCTTGCTTGATTGAATACGAGTGGCCACATAACCTCCTTTTGGCAAAAGCTAACGATGCGCGGTTCCAGATATCCTAACACAACTTCTATCCGGACTGGATTCAGCTAGAACGATTGACGGTTTTAAAGTGAACCGAAGCCTGAAAACTGTTCGACAACACACGACCGGTTTTGCCCTTCTAGGGGCTCATCAAGTAGGCGCAGTCCCCGAGTTTCCGTCAACCTTATGTTCTACTTGAACACAAATAAAACTGTTTTCGAGAAATACACTCATTTGCAAATCGTGCCAACTGAATCATGGGGCGGCCTGTGTGCAGCACATTCAGTTGTAGAATATCATAAACGAGAGATTCAGTTGAGTTTCTCGTGAAAACCAAATTGATTTGCAAATGAGTGTATTTCTTGAACCGACGCCTCTTGAAGCAGTGAGACGTGTTTAAACAGCTAGCCAAGCAGTCTGCATCAGAAATGATTCCATTAAGATAGAGGAAGTCGTCATTTTGCTTGCAACCCTTATGAGTCATCTCACTCGACTGCATTTGAAATGGCTATACTGTGCGACCGTGGAGGCCGATTGATTCTCAGGCTTGGGGCTTGAGAAGGTAGCGCCAAAGCCTAACAGACGTCCTGGCATCATCGATTTGTCCAACAGAAGCCAACTGTTTGAGCGAATTCCGTGTGTAAACATTCGGGCAACTAGTTAATGAAATTCGCTCAGTGGAATTTCATAGAAACATAGGTCAAATTGGACCATAGTTGGTGTTAGTATTTGAAGTTTTTGGATATGATCTGTCAAAAGCATTCAAAAATTTACCAGTGAAGAAAGTTGTGGAATTTCCTGTGGATTCACATAGTGGAATAAGGAGGTTTCTGTCCAAAATTACATTTCAGCAAAAAGTGACTGCGATGTCTCTCTTCTGCTATTTAGTATGTCTGGACGCCCAGGCAAATCAGGTCAGAGCAAGTGATTGTCAACTACACATCTAGCTAATACAGTGCTGATGAGACCAAATTAGGGTAGACGAGTCATACTTCACTTTGCTGAGTCTTCAACAGTGTCAGCGTCATGTTAATCAATCGGTTAAAATTACGAAGAGTTTGTTAGTGAATCACAAATAGAAACCTGGTTTTGCGAAGTAGACGATCAAGAAATGAAGTTACTGGTTGATACTACGTTCAAGCCTTGGCAATATCTGTGCATATTCTCGCAAGATTCACCAGATGTAAATACACTGTCTCTCGTTTTAATACATCTTCACTTCTTATCGCCCGTGAGCAAGCGGTTACCGCTTTGTATACATCCTATTACTTCGTCATTCGTTCTCCACTGTCTTTCACACAAATTGGGTTTCTTTCGTTGCATGCCAAGTTAGTTGGTGCACATTACTGCGTTGGCAGTTAAGCTATCGCAATGGCGTTCGAGTTGTTTTTGATTCTGCCGGATTTCGTCTGCCACCATCACGCCGACCCCGTCATTACTCCGACCAACATTTGCAATCCAATCGGGCAACTCACACGTAGGCAGTCCCTACTCACTTTGTCAGTGTCCCTGAAGTGGCAAAGATGGGTGGGTGAAGATTCGGCCTCGTCAGCTGCTATCGTCTTAATCTTAGGTACAATTAAGCTACGACCAGCTTCAACTACGATTATGGTCTTGCGTGCGATTGAAGTTGTTTGCCAGTCACTGAGAATCGGCTGTTGAAATAAAACGAAAATAGGATAAGAAATCGGTCAGTTGTAACACCTTCTTGGTGTCCACGTGCAGTCTTCCGAAGGAAGCACGAGAAATGACATACTGTCAAGTTACCCAAGCTTAGACAAGAGCGATCGAGATGCTGAGGGTGGGCTCCGACCACGGACCTTCCTATTAGTAAGTTTGTGCCCTAGCCGCAAAGCTATCTTGGGCTCTGTTCATTCATTCGCATAGGCTTGACAAATTCAACAAAAAATCATCCCATCGACGTCAGTTAATCAACTTCTATTAATCGAACTAGCAAGCTTTTCAGCTGACAGGGGCGACGAATGGCTTTTAGTAACAGCGACAACGTGCTTGCTTCTATTTCTTCTAATTAACAATGTTCGTCCTTGTTGAAGAACCGCAAACTGTAGTCAGATTGTATGCCGTATATGCCATGTAGTGAATATTCTCATATACTACTGACGGATTTTATCAGGTTTCCTGGAACAAATCAAATCTGACCTACAATCACATGCAGTTTTCACCTTCTAGTTGAAGAGCTACAGATTCTCATTATGACAATTATTTCCTTGTGCGTTAACGCACACATAACCACCAGCTGAAAACCAGCATTCCGAGATCGTAGCTATTCAACTGCTCATATCCAAATAATCTTAATAGGTACACTACCAGTTTTGTATCTGGTAACCGGAATCAACACAAACTGGCTGACATCTTTGCGCGTATTTTAGCTCGGCCAAGATATTCGTTACATGTTATTATCCTCTAAATACAGGCCAATTCTGATTAGAACCTTCTTATATTATACATGAAGGGAGACAAATTATGCTTGAAGAAATCATGAAATTAATCTGCGAGAATCATTCGTGGCTCGAGGCAAGCTGATTAAAATGAGTAGACGTTTTGATAGATAATGCCGATGCCTAGGTACTGGTGCATACTTGAAGGATAGGGGTTCTTCCTCAGTTGATCAACCAAGTAGCACAGTGCCTGAGGACTGAAACATGTACGTCGCTTACGCTTCCTTGATGACTGAGCACTGAGTTGTAGATCATAGTACTTGTTCCCATTGTTGCGTTGGGCTTCCGTTTCTGCAAGCCATCGTTCAAGTACCGGTTTCATGCGCCTGGCCGATTTAGCAGTGACGTCAAGCTTCTCAAATCTAAGGAATGGATAATAAATAAGTCTACGTTGAGCTCACTCGCTCAGAAAGTACCTCCAATTCGTAAACGCGTACCCTTTATGTCCTTATGTACACAAAGATGTCACAAATGTCTCTCAAAAAGTAAACAAGAAGTGGATACTCTATTTGATCCAGTGTAAGGGATAAGTCCTGTGTATGATTTATTCCCTCGGGAGAAGTGCTCCATTTTGACCTATCAGCCAAATATAATGTCTAAAAAATTTAGCAATAGTAAATGGACCACACAAAAAGTAGACCAGATCGATTTGGTTTGAATATGTTTGTTTCTTACGGACCAAAGCTGACGAAAACGGTCGGAGCAACCGAAGTGTATACTGCTATTTCTATCCGTACTGATGGTGATTTATTGTGATTGAAAACCACTCATTAAATCGTGCGGTTCATAATTTTTGAGAGTCGAGAAGATCAGCTATCTAGAAGCTTAACAATGAGCAAATCAGTATGGAAGTTTTACCTACTAAGGACTTATCACAGATGGAATCACAGGGTACAATTTATATCAGTGTGAGGGTCACTTTAAAAACAGTCCAAAAGTGCTGAAACGCGGAACCGAATAATGGGAAGTATAATCAATTCCCAAGAAGCTTCCTAACTCTAGTTACTCCAAACTGACATATGAACCCGCGTTTCACAAAGACCAATGGCTACACCCTTAATGAAAATATGGAGTCAATCAGGCCTGAAACAACAACCGACCTGGCAATCACTCTTGGTCTAATCGAACCACCCGCAAAGTCCTTTCACAAAACAACTCCCCCAGATGCTCTCTCTGTGTCAGTTTGCAGCGCCTTGTGTCAAGTGAATGAAAGCAAATGTGAGAACCTACACTTTTTAATTTTCTGAACTATTTGGTGGCACAGAATCACTCCTCAAACGTCATCTGCAGAAACGAAATTCGGATTCTCTGGCAACAACCAGTACCAATATATATATGAGACCGCCCCCATGGTCTTCTGCTGCTCGAAAAACAGACGTTCATGAGATTTGAAGTATCAACGTGGGCATCAAGTCTACATCCAGTGCATTGACTAGAATTGCGCCACAAACAGCGGGTTCAGACCTTTTAGGAATCACTCTCAACACAAGGAAGGAACTTGAAGCAGTGCTCAGGCTAACTACATTCTACACCAAACTTCTTCACAGCGTGTACAGGTTAAAACATTCTACAAAATAGGTTTCTGTTGGGAGCACTGGTCAACACGTAAGCCGGTTCGCATCAAAAAAAAGCAGACTGTTGCTCAACGGAACAAATTTTACTCACTCAGTCAGTTATTGGATCCTTGGTATTGCAAATCGCTCTTGGCAGGATTTCAGGAAATCCACTCAAAACGAGCGGATTCGGTTTCCTAGTAGCTCTGTTATTTCTACTTGCTTTCGTGTGTGATTTTACAGATGGTTTTTAACCAAAAAATGTAGTCACTTTTCTCACTATGGATCGTGTGATTGGTGCACACGATCTGAATATCCATTTTATCCGCGATTGGTTGAAGTGTTTCTCGCAAAAACGGTATATGTTTAAGAGCACAGAACTAGCCTAGATGATAAGAATAAGAAAACAGGCACAGAATGAGTAAATAATGAAAGCGAATGAGTACCGCTTAAATCTTTGAACAGTAATATTTACCACTTTTCGCAGCAGAATCTTGTTCCTATCACTGTAGCCTAAATAGAATTTAAACAGAAAGTCTCATTTATACGAAGGTGTCCACATCCATTCGTGTACTACTCAACCCTCTCCTAAACTATGAAGTATGATCGACGCCAACATTTTCTTGATTCCAGCCAAACATCTAAGCCTCATTGTTTCCGGCTCTACATTAGTTTTCAGGATATCCGTACCTCCTGGCCCGGAAATATCAGCCACTAACATAGCCCCGGTCGTTATCAACCTACAAGCATTCACTTATCACGAACTACTGAGAGTGAACACTCACTTATCAACCACCTTATATTAAGTGTTTACTCCCAAACTAATGCACTGTAAACTACGAATAATAGTTCTTATTATCATTTCTATCATTATTGTAAATTGTTTAATACAAACGACTTCAACTCGATCAGTAGAAGATACCGCGTATGCTAGGGCTAACAGAATTCGAAAATTCAGGAGGAGAAATGAGATGCAGGTAGACACTTGTGGTGCTCTTGCAGTTCAATAATAATAATAATATTTTTTCAGTATCTATCCGTATCAGCTGGTTGATGACGATTTTTGACGGAGAAACTTCCTCACGGTTTCTGGCCGCCGCTAGCTGGACCACTTAACCTTGGGTTCCCTGAATCATTGAAACTAACGCTGAAGCGGGAGGGTCGAATATAAAGGCGCGGGGTTCACTGAGGCTGCGACTAAAAAGAACAGCGGGGGAGTTTTCACACATGAGGTGCCCAAATAGGGTGATCCGAACCAGACGGTCAACTGTCACGGAATGATAATAACTCTGAATGCATTTGGACCTCGCCAGCCATAGGAATATGGATGTAACTCACCTCATACCCTCAGGCAACTTGCTTTCATTTCGACGTTTACTAAAATAGTGGCATTTGAAGCATACTAATAGCATCCACTGAAGTCAGCTAATTACCAAACGGTGGCATTCCATTCACTAATGTGAACAAACAAGTGTACCCAGCCAGCCTTCATTCACAAAAAATCCTAGACTACAACCAGGAGCAACTAACATTCAGCTCAGCCTCCTGCCGCCACACTGAGGTCCTAGACAAACATCGCAAATTCAGCTGGAACCTCATCGAGATCATTGGAAGGTGGCTGACTGACGACATACTGGACTGAGGGTTGTCAACAATCAGACAACCAGCAGGCTTATGATGGGAGTCACTTTCAATCACTAACTTCTGCAGTCCTGGCTGTATTAGTGCAACCAGATACTTCGTTGAACTGAGATGTCACCCTCCTAGTAATATGACGAATTAGGGTGACCTTATACTAGCTAAGTTGTGCAGTTCAACTATTTTGCGCGTTACTTCCTTTCAGTCATCATGAAATACCTTAACATCCTTTTGCTTGCGGACTCAGCGTGACGCTTGTACGTCATCCGAAGCCAATAGTTGAACCCGGATGCAGCTGGTAAAAGTGTAACAAACTCCCCAAGCAACTGAGGTTTTTGTCTTGACGAACCAAGGTATCGTGGAAGCGTATCACACTCCGGTTAGTCACAACAAACACATATGCTCCGAATTCATTTGTCACTGTCAGTGACCATAAAGGCCATTGAACCGGAACTAAGATCAGCCTTTCATCTCTGATTAAGGCTGGTATGTATCTTTGAAGGAAACTTAATGAAGCTGTTTCCACACGAACAATCGTCTGGCGCTACTGGCCAACAGATGCATGTCATAACCACACAGGGCTAAACGGCTGTCAGTAGCTGCACAAAACAGTGGACAATGAAAGGTGACCCTCTGTGGAAATGATACAAAATAAATCTCCGTGAGGAAAGCTGATATGAAAACACTGTCCAAGGAAACCGCCACACCTTACTTGTCCCCACAGACAAGAGATATTCACATCTCAATGTCATCTCACAGATCACAGTAAATCTGAAGCTCTTGTACAAGCGAGTAGAGGAATACTTCCCCCTTCAAATAGAGGATGTTTAAATCGGTCTGGTGAAGGAACCAGTAGACGTCTTGCTAAATGGATCCATATTCATCCCTGTCCATTTTTTGCGGCTGTGTGGTGCCATCTATCCCGAATTTGAGCTACGCATCCTTCACCCTAGTAGCGGTGACGCGCGAACTCGAAACCCTCAGATCAGAAAACGCTACCGTGGATAGTGACAAAACATAAAGCCCAGAACTCTGTCCCTCCTGCCTCTCGTGGTTTTGCTAACGCGATTTCCTTACCACACCCATTCCCTCTACTAAATGAAAACAATGAGTCAGAAGATAGCACATGAACGACTACTGGCCCATTACCAGTATGCAGCAAGGATCATCAACAAATTCACATAGAGCGGCAAAATAGAATTTCGCATGAATGACATGATTTCAAACACCAGATATTTTGTCTTGTACGCCCGTTCTTCATCAAAGGCCGAAGATTTGGATGCCTAGAATCAGCAAGATGCTGTCTGGCTGAACTTATCCAGGGCCCTCGATGGAACAAAATATCATAAACTGCAAATCGTCTCAAAACCCACAACTACTCGCAAGTGATAAGTAAGTCGTATGAAAATAATAAGCATCATCAGTGAGGGTGATTTACGCAATTACTTGAATAGATCACTTTTGGGCTGTAAATCTCACACTGACTAAGAGTTTCTGTGATACTTTGTCGGTCGATCCAATTGAAATAGCTAACATGGTCCACCAAATTTAACATACCACGTATTTTCATGTGGTTTCCACAGGGTGAGTGGGAATAGAGGCAAGTCTCGGTAATGATGCTCTATGTTGTTTTAGAAGTGCAATTTTTCCAGGATAAATGCGGACTATGTACGTGAGTGCAGTCGCATTAGCGTCTGTACGAAGTAGTCGTCAGAGTCGTAGGGTCGATTCAAATTCGATCGACGGAGAGAAAACTGGCAAGAGAAATGTCTAAAGAGTGTTTTATGAAAGGGATTCTGTAACGTATATAAAATGAAGATTTCTGGAAATTTACAAGATCTGAGTGCCAACCAAACTTCGTCAACAATCAGTCATCTTTACTTCCTTCGATTTTCAGGTTTCGTGGGACCGATTCTGAACACGTTCTCTGAAGTAAGTTTTTTATTTTTTTTTTTTCAAAGAAACCCAATCCCCAGTACTGTTTGACTGAACACAATTAAATAAGCATCATTTAGTTCCGAATGTTTGTAAGTTTACTCCAGTTCTCCAGGAAAAAAACCCTCAAACGAAGGAACAATGATAACCTCTTCTGCATGGGGATTACGCTTGGCACACTAGTCATAGGTGGAGAAACCAAAAGTGATCTAATTTGCAAATCAATTTGGTTTTCATGAGAGACTCAACTGAATCTCTCGTTTATGATATTCAGTTGAGTCTCTCGTGAAAACCAAATTGATTTGCAAATGGGTGTATTTCTCGAAAACAGTTTTATTTGTGTTCAAGTAGAACATAAGGTTGACGGAAACTCGGGGACTGCGCCTACTTGATGAGCCCCAAGACAAGAAGGGCGGGTCGTGGGCTGTCGAAAAGTTTTCAGCAACATTGTGGGTAGTTTCCTTTATCAAAAGTGATCTATCCTGATCAAACCTGACAGTAGAAGAACTACGTTGCTTTTAATAGACAGTAAAACTTGAACATAAATCCAAACAATGGGCTTGGTTTTAATATGACGTGCTTGTTCCGTATAATTTATTCTAATTTGTTGATCGTTTCGGCTGAATGATAAAGGGGAATGAGACATATCACCTACCGACAAATGGCACTTTGGCTATAGGCCGGGCCTTCCTTGGCATTCAGAGCCGAACCAACTTGTGTCTGCGTCAGTCCAAGTGTTAGCCTGCGTAGCTTGAAGTAGCGTGCGAATTCGCAAATTTCATTCAGCTCCTTATTATCTTGTGTGAATTCCTCCGACTTCAAAAGACTCTTCAGTCTGACCGACTTTGGATAGGAACATTGTGATGGTGCCATTGATTCGTCGCCAGCAGTCTTGGTGAGATACAAAGGCGTAGGAAGTCGACGTGTTGGGCTGATGGACGAGTCTTGCAAATTGTGCACCTGATAGACTGTGGAGGGTGATGGCTGTCTCTGGACCAACAGACTAGCCACTTGTAAATGATGAGGTAACGTTGGGACTTGATTTTGCATTCCTGATTGTTGAAGAAACCTGTCTGAATATGGTGTTAAGAAAACTATCACTTAGTTAAGGTTTGAAGTCATACGGAAATACGTACTGATATCAGGCACTCACTCAGCTGAATTCTGGGTCAAAATTCAAATAATATAGTAATAGGAGATGTTTCTAAATCCGTAATAGATGAGTTGCCGAAACTTCCTCTAGCCGCGGTACTTAAATGCTCAGTTGCATTCTTTTTGTCCAGTATCAGCTGAAGAGCGCTTCGTCCGGGCATCTAGATTTGCCACATTTCTGAACGAAATTGCTGTGTGCGTTTGTGGGAGATTGGGGCATCCGCTAAAATCTACGCCAATTAAGCCTTTGGTCGCTTCTCTACAGGGCTTTCTCTCCGCGCACAAAAAGCAACCCTGCCAGATTGACATACATTCATGAGAACCAATTTCTGGTATTCGGCCGGGCTCATCAATAGAATTTTCCCATGCCACATTAACTGGAACACCTAATGCTTGTGCCTTGCGCTGCAGAACTTGAGTGTTCTGTGAGAAGTCCATGTAAAAGTAAGTCAATGTTTCAGGTCTACTTGAATAAGCGAAAAACAATTGAACGAGGGAGGTAGATATACTGTAGAGTTCCGAGAGCCTTTCACCAGCCTACCAATGAAAAAGTAAATTTGTACACTACAGATAGATTCTGTATACGGAGGTAGGAGGACAGCCGTGCCTAGTTGACTCATGATAAACCGCTTAAGAGGTTATCGGTTGGAACGTATTTAAAGGCCTCGATAAGTCGCACATTCTCATCAGGGTCCTAAGGTTAGTACTACGGTAAGAACAAATATTAAAACAGCTAAACCATGCAAAACTCGTCTTTCATTGTACTGACCGCCCCGTTACTCACCTTGGAATGGATTGGTGATGTATTCTGCACGCCTCTGATACAGAGCAGGTCCCATGTTGTTCTTTTCACATTCTACACCAACAAACTGATTTTGTACACCCGATGATTGAAATTTGTTTTGGCATTGGAGGGCTGCTGAAGGTGTTGGGGAACAGGCTAAATCCCTTGACTTTACTCCTGTTGGCCAGGTTAAATCCGATTTGTTTTGATCGGCATTAACCATGGTCTGTTCAAGACACCAACGAAAGTAGCGCAGCCAATCTTCTGGATGAGGTATGGTTACACCACCAAGAAGATGATCTATAGAATGGTAAGCGGAAGATCCATTGTTTGGGGCAAGATTGTTGTCAATTGTTCGAGGAATTTCACCACTTGTATTCCCACAGGAACCGGAGGAATCGGCAAGCCGCCTGTGAGCTTCGTTTAAGAAGTCGCATTGGATGCTACCGTTCTGAGGAGATCTTGCCTGGCCTGTTGATGATGAATTAGTCGTGGGGTCGGTTTCGAGAATTCGGGAAATTGGATGAAGCATTTCGCTGAAATGTGAAAGTGAAGGCAATTGAAACTCTTTTCCACAAACTCGAATTGTAGCGCCGTAAAATTCAAAAAGTAAAGAAAGGACAAAAGAATATTTAGCCAGTTCGCAATTACTTCATAACGTGAGGTGTTTCGTCGTTACCGAGGCTAATCCGGTGGGTGCGCACGAGTAGGTCATGAGCCTGACCACGTGCCGTCGACCGAATCGTGACAAGTTGGCGAATATTGTAGACTTCCAGGATCTTCATTATTTCGCATCGATACATGACGCGTGTTCTGGGAGATTTGAGAAGAAACTGCAATCTGGCGAGCCATGTTAACATGCCATCCTCAGGAGAGACTAAATTTAGGAGAAAGTTTTCATTGCACATATATCCAGTAATTTTACCCCATTATTTTTGGGTCTTTCAACCAGATGCATTCGGATCTAGTGTGACCTCAGATAGTCCTATCTTAGTTTCTATATGTTAGTGGAAGAAAGGCCATAATTCATTCGGGTTTCCAGAGTGCTAGCTCAACACGGCTACCGTCTTGAGGTCATTTCTATGTTTTTTTTTACAGCAATTGCACCCTTAAACCTGCAGAATCTACCAACACAGTGTAGTGCAAAGTAGCGCACGAGCAATTTAGAATTCTATTGAGCAGCGCAGAGTTCTTGTTCAAGTAGCAGAATACAGAGTTTTTCGCAACTAGTGTCGAACGTTTTACTATGCGTACGGTCGTTCCATCAATTGTGACAAAGAACCTTACTTATTTTACTTCGGTTACCTTCTGCATGAGATTGAGTAGGCTCCTTGGATGACCAGAAACACAGATGCTCGCTTAGTTTGACCAGAAATGACAACAAAGGATGTGTTTGGTCTGAAGAAGGGCTTCTTAAATTCATCGACATGCAGAACAGAACAAATAGTTCACTGCTACCACCCCTTCTTCACATTTTCTTCGATTGTGGTTATTCAGGCCAAAAGAGTAGAGCCGTCATTCGAAAATGTGCTACAACTTTTGATTTCTTATTATTCGCTACTAATGAGTATTGAAAAGAATTCGAAAGATAGAAAAAGGTGGTGATTTAGTGCCGTCTACAAACAAGACCATATGTTTGTGGCCTGGTTGTAGTTAAATCCAAATCAAAGGATATTTAACTTTGTGAGCAATGGACCACCTCTTTGTAGTTGGCGGTCTTGTATCATTCGAGAGACTTTTGGTACAGTCAGTGCACATCTGTTTCACTATGCACAGGTGCAAAATTGAAGCGGCCGAATAATTTATACGTTATGTTGATTGCAAGTAGCGAACTAGCTTTTGATAGTAGGCGTACTCTTTTCTGCATTCGTTAAAGGACTTCATCAGCTCTAGCAGCAGATAGACAAATGTGGATGGTCCGTCTCTTCTTAGAATCACGATTAGGAAATAGCTTCCCAATCAAGCTTACAGGCACACTCGGACGATTATCAGTCATCCAGGAAGCATCACAATGGACAGTCAATTTACCACACCCATCCAGCGTCATACAGGCAGACTGAATCATGCATTTGGTCTGTTCATTAAGCTGAACAATCAGGTTACACACTTAACCACAATGCCCATAACGACCTGGTGATGAACTATTTCCGGTCTGGGCTATCAGACTCCCCCTCAATAGCTTGAAGCGTAAGTCGTGAATTATGCCGGTTCTGTTAACTATGAGGGTTGGCCACTGGCGAAATAGACTTGCAAATTAACCTGTCCTTAAGGGGAAACTCACCTGATACACGGCTAAATCTCTTGTTCTTTTAAAGTTCTTCAACTAAGAGGCCACCTCGTTTCCTCTTGTAAGATACTCGAGATATCGAAGTATTTTTTCTTGACGGGGCACTACAAACAAGGCTGCTGAAAACTCTTCGAAATCCCACCATTGGTTTTGCAATTTTTGAGGCCCATCAATTCGGCGACACATTTAGTTGGAGAACGACGTAGACTAGAGATTCACCTGGGATTCAAATGAGTCTCTTTTAACCCCATCTTAATTTGCAACTGAGTTTAGTTCGCGAACTGCGTACATTTTTGCGCTAAAGTAGGACATGAGGCTGACAAAACTCAGGGGCTACGCCTGTCCCATCAGCTTTAAGGAGTGTGAAACCCGTAAAAAGCTGTCGAAGAGTTTTCAGCAGCCTTATGAGCAGTATTTTCGGTCAAGAAAACATAAGATTTAGCAGTATTTAGCAACGCACACTACAAACGGGACTGATCAATTCTTCAGTCACTGATAGAGATCGTCACCAAAACGGGGCAAACTAAAAATTGTGCTCGGCTGGCCAGTGAAGAGTCACCGCTTCCCCATGACGTTTTTGAAGGTAACAGGTTGGCTAGCGTAGCTTATTGATGCAGTATTTGTCAGTCTACATAAAAAAAATTAGGAATAACTCAAAATGTGCTTGAGAACAGCTTTCACTATAATGGTGGCAAATTGCATCACTAGCATCACCAGAGAAGCTGAGAGCAATGATGCATTAAGCATTATTCCTTACGCAGGTCTTCAGTTTATCTTCAGTTGAATGTCGGTTCAGCAAGCTTCCTATTTATAACACAAGATTATCTGTGCCAACGAATCAGGCGGAACTATACTACTGTCCTGTCGTTCACCTATGAGACATATCCAAGATCCTGAGTATGAGGCCCAGTGGGGAATCATAGAAACAAATTTGCATGGAAACTTCCTCTGGTAACTTTTGTTTGATGGGTTTGCTCTTGGTGGATTAGTTAACGCTGCCACTGCAACAAAGCGCAAAGTGGGAAATAATACTCAGTATCCACCAAAACTTCCATACATCACAGTATCATTTTTTCTGAAAGTAGCTCGGTCCAAGTTACAACACCTCTTAACCAGTAGGAACCGGATGGGCAGTCGAGTTCAGGTGTCAGCAAACTGTCATAAGAAAAACACCGTCATACGGCTAACCAGGGTATCAAGCATTTGATTCCTTTCCTCGCAACTGGTGAGAGCCAACAAGTACGAAAAACGTTGTGTATCTGAACTCTTTGGAATTCGACCACATATTTACCCTTAAAACTCGGGCTCCTGATGCGAACATCTGTCTGTGGTTTTGTATTCTGGGTCAGTTTGATCTTAGGATTTCCAGATCAAACCCGGCTCAAATGTTCTCAAGGATACTGAGAGTCATGTGGTGTATGTTAGGGAAACATCTGAGGTCAAAACGCAGCGTGTTGGATCATGCTTTGTGCAATAGCTCTTAAGCATATCTTACTGAACGGTAAACAGCGCGGAGTGAAACATTAAAAAATATCGATAAATATACTCTCATACGAATGTGTAGAGAAAATTGCTAAACTCACGTCTTTGGTCGGGAGGCTCACGCTGCACAATGAAATCTCTGCTGAATCCCGATCAAACCTTCACATTAACAGCGCACAATCATAAATTTCCAAGCATTTGGTCGTAGTGAACTTGGTTTCCACTCCTCTACATTCTAATTGGACGCTACCACTTTTGGTGGCGCAAACTCCCCTCAGTCACCCGTGACGTTTTGTGCACCATGAAACGCCTGGATGCACACTTTTTTGTTCGAAATCCGCTCAGTGAAGAGGAAATTCCGTTCACCTATTGGTGGGACGGTTGGTGTATGGCGACTGAATTGGAGAGAAACGTAGGTAACGATTTTATATTGATGGTGCATTGGGTGTAAGGCGGGTAGATTCGTTAACATTTTCTACGGGGACTCTCACGCAGAAAATCGCAATGCTTGTCTCTTTTGGGCGATTAAATCCCCACTTTTAATAAAGGAGGTCTACCAATGGTTGAGTACTGCTTCAAGGTTGAAATCAACCTTGTTTCATCACAGAACTTCATGCCGTTCATAACTATTCTTTGAAAGAAGACACTGATGGTAATTAAAACATGTTAATTCAGGAAGTTCCGAAAAGATCCATATGATTAGCGTATTTAAACGATCCATTTTGTGTTTATCTACACGAGTGTTTCCCCCCATCTATGTAGCATAAGGAAATCGTACAATTTCGAACGTTCCTTCAAAATCTATCCTGTCGGCTCACTCCTCCTCAGCATGGAGATGATACTAGAAACAATGCATCCAAAGGCTAACTTTTCGTTTCACTAAATAACAACAATGGGAATCGCTTTACATATCATCCCATTAAAATGTGAAGGAGCAAACTTTGAATTCAAGTTTGCTTCGCATAAAGAACTTTGGGGTGGCTGGATTTATATGCATATTACACTTCTTGGTCACCACAGAAGAGAGGTAAACTTTTGCAGTTTTTTGTAATTGAAAGACCAGTTGTTTCTGACGATTATTTTGTGTTGCTCAAATCCCTGAGGGTATGAACCGGCTATCCAAACTGTGGCATCTTTTGGCCAGCGAGTATTCCTTCGGAAAGTTGGCAAAAGTTTCTGTGTCTAAATTTCCCATCACACTCTAGCTATTACATCAGTTATCTTTCACAGCTCTGTCCTTTGAATAATGTATTGTGAAGTCTCCTAGGCTCTGCTAGAAGCTTTCCACCTAACATTTGATGAGTTATTCAAGTAAATAAGTAGATAGACAAACAGGTACCTGAATAAATAGAATCTGCATGGCTAAGAACAGTCCAAAATCAGGTAGCTTGATCTTGTTGGTGGCATTGTACCAAGTTTTCAGCAACTTTACGAGTAGTGCATTACGTCTAAGGACAACGGAAGTTCCATCCAGACACAGAGTCTTCTACCAACAGAGGCCGGGTAGAAATAGTGGACTGGATTTCCTATGTGATGACACTAAGTACATATTTGGTGAATAATCAGACAGGACGAGGCATATGTAGGTTTTCCTAAGGGTTCAAACTACCAGCATTCTCATAGCAGCACAGAGAATTCACCCCGTGAGTAAAACTTCAATTTGGATTGTCACTCGAGGAACCAGTCAACACGCGTGACCACGTGAATTCCGTGGACGAGGGATAAATGGCACTAAATTCTGTCAAAGTGTAAGCTAATCACAATGTTTATTAGCCGTTCCTGGCCGAACGGTTAAGTGCCCAATCTACTAACCGGGAGGTTGCAGGTTTGAAACTCCTCGGAGTGTCGTGAGATGTGCACTGTTAATAATTCACATAGGGCTGAAACAGATGTTCACTGCTCCGGGCCTCATCAGTATGGATTAACTTCAATTACAAGACGAAATCTCCTTGGGTATATTTTGTAAATATCTAACAGACTTTTCTTCCTAACTCGCTCACTTGATTTCGATTGTTT